CTTAAAGATTTCTCTAGAAGGGGAGGGCTGTCGGGGTTCGTGTACGAGGCTTTGAACCGCAAACCGCATCGATTCCCTGAAGAGGACCCGCAGGAAGAACCGAAGCAAGGCCACAGCGCAACGTGACCGGAAGCCTAAACCCAACCTAAACCCGAACGCCCAAACGCTCTCAACCCGAAAACGATCGGAGTCCCACACTTATAACCCCTGACACTATTCTCGGAAAGCCTTCTCAGGCCCGGATGAAGGCACGAAACCGACCAAACGCCAAACGCTCCCCCAGGCCGGGCTGGGCCAATTAGAAAGGATGAGAGTCTTGCGAAGGTGTGATAAAGCTGATGTAAGTAATTTTTCATGTTCCACATTACAATCACCTGCTCTCTAACCTGAAAATTCTAATCACTAAGGCCATGTATTCATCCACACGAAGCCCAGAAATTTCTTGTTTCCCCCTGCAAGATCCTGTTTAACGCCAATTCAACAGCAATGCCATAAACCCAAGTTCAAAACAAACGACAGGAAGACTCTAGACCCTAAACCCTGAACCCTGGCCCCCGAACCCTAAACCCTCAACCCCGAACCCCTAAACCCGAAACCCGAAGTCCTGAACCCTAAACCCTGAACCCTAAACCCTGAACCCTAAACCCTGAACCCTAAACCCTGAACCCCAGACCCTAAACCCTGAACCCTAAACCCCAGACCCACATCCAAAACAACCCTACGAAGCGACTCCGGGGTCTCGGCGCGGCGTTGGACCAGGCCGGCGGTGCTGGCAGGGCACCGCCCGTCATGACAAACATCTGCCGAAGGGTCTCTCTGGGGGTACTGTACATATATATATATATATATATACATAGCTGTGTGTGTGTGCGCATATATGTATAGAGGCATGGAGAGGGAAGGAGAGAGAGTCGGGGCTGGTTGGGGTTCAGGGCAAGGGCTGAAGATTGGGGCTTGATGGCTTCAAAACAAAAGTGGCTGGAAAGGTTGACAGTAAAGATTCTTGGAATTGGGCTTTGAGGGTTTGAGTATGGGGTTGAGGGAAATGCACTTTTAGGACTCGGGGCATTTAAGGCTTCAAAACAGCTTCAAAGGCTGGTGTAAACGGGTTTAAGAAGCCTTCACAAGCAAAAGCTTCGGGCTTGACGGATTCAAAGGTGATTCAGGCCTCTTGCCTTTCAAGGGCCTGGGTGCCCTGAAAACTGATGTGTGAGGGAGGCAACTTACTTAGCATGTTTGCCGGGGGTCCCAGGTTCGGGGTCCTGGTGGGAGTAGGGCTTGTAGGGTTTGGGGCTGAAGCGTTTTGGGATTGATTAAGATCTAGGGCTTTGTAGTGCTTGAATGGTCTGGGGTTTAGGGATTAATCAAGGGTTCTAGGGCCTTGGACACGCTGGGACGTTCGGACATTCAAGTTTTCAGGCTCCTTTCAGCCTCCTGGGACTCTGTCTCTGTTGGCTTGGGGCACAGATTGCGGGCCACGAACCTCGCTGAACCTAAACTTTTTGGATCACTACCGAAACCTGAACCCCAGACCCTAGACCCTAAAACGTGACGTGACGCCTGAACCCTACAAGCCCCGACCCGACCCCCAAAAACTCCCGAAGCCACACAACACCCGCCCAGACGGCGGCACGAATCTTCAGAGGTTTCAGTATCAGTTATGCTCCATTGTGATCATCATATGGAGTTTCCGAAAATAGGGGACCCCATTATGCAATTACCCTAAATAATAGAATCCTTGTTATAAGGGCCCCAAAATACGGTACGGTTGATGATAGAAATCCTACATTACCTTAAGGACTCTACACTATGGGAATTATGGTATATCCTTATTATGGGTCATGCAGGATTTATATCATCAACCGTATCATCACCACCACCGTCGCCATCCTCGTCGCGGTCATCCCCCTGCCCATCCTATACGAGGACAACAGCTCGCAGCAGAGTTATTCGAAAGACTCCGTCTTCGTAGCCGCTTTATGGTTCAGGGTTTAGGGTTTAGGGTTTAGGGGTTTTTAGGGTTTCCGCCTAATATAGGGGCCCTAATAATTAGAATCGGGTTTTGGGGCCCATTATACTATAATCAATTTAAGGAACACCCAAAAGAGTGTAGGTAATTCTTGAGGCCCCTATAGTAGGTGCTTTAGGATTTCGGGCTCGGGGTTTTCCGGCAGGCCTTCGGCACACCATGCGGCCAGTATGAACAAGCTCGACACGCCCGACAGGGCAGCTGAGCGCATCGCACACGGTCGCACACTTGCCCGTTCCAGGCAAACAGTAAGTCTAGCTAAGGTTTGAAACACGGCTTGAGCCGTATAAATACTTCCGGATAAGGCACACTCAACATACTCGAGGCTTCCTGCGAAGAGCACTAGCTCAAGACCAAGCCGAGCTATCAACAAACAGATCCTAAACCCTGAACCTGAAAACCCATGAAAACTAAACCCTTAAGGCCTTAAGGCCACAAATCCCGAAACCCTAAAACCCTAAACCTTCAACTCGAAAAAATCCGTTGCCCCGGGTGGGGCAGACGCTATGACGACGCCGGCACCGATGGCACGAGGCCTCAACACAGGGAAGCCCCAGAGTACGGCTTGGGGCTCAGAGGTTGAAGGTTGAGGGTCCCAGGCTGCTGGGGCTTGCGGTGTTTAGGGTTTAGGGTGTTAGGGTTTAGGGTTTAGGGCTTAGGGTTTGGGGTTTAGGGATTTCGAGTTTAGGAGTTTAGGGTTTGGATTGAGTGTGAGCCATGGTGAGCCACATGTGGGTGGTTGTCAAAATTAGGGTCCCTTTTTGGGTCCTAATTACAACACGGCACCTATTTTTCAAGGTACCCAAAAAGGTACCATAATTTTGACAACCACCCATGTGTCACCGATGACTCTCGGGGCTCAGGTTTAGAGAGGGGTTTGGATCTAGGGTTTGGGTGTAGACTTAAGGCAACTGCCGACTGGGCAGGCCTTCAGCCTGGGGTTCCGGGCACATTAGATCCGACCCTAAACCCTAAACCCCTAACCCCCTAAAGATACAAACAAATTTCATAAAATCCTAAACCCCATGCAAAGCATAAACCCCTAAAGATACAAACAAACTTCCTAAAATCCTAAACCCCCAAAAGTCACCAGCACCGCCAAGCTGGGTAGAGACTACAGGGCCCCTCGGTTCAGGATAGGATCGAATCCTTGAGTCATATACGGGTCTCTCTTGTGGCTCAAGGGGGGGGATTCCTTACTTCTGAAGGGATTATGCTTTTTTATATTGTAAGTTCTTGAGTCATATGCCCCCAAACCCTAACCCCTGACTCAACCCTCAACCCTAAACCCTAGAAGCCCCACAAGGAGAATGACTCTTTAGACGAGACTTCGAGCCAGAGCCACCTTAAACCGTGAACCCTAAACTACCAAACCAGTAATCAGGCTCCCTCCATCGGCGGTACTCAACACGGTTTAGGGTTTAGGGTTTAGGGCTTGGCTTCCCCACTAATCACCTGTCACTCTGGGGCCCCCCGGCATGCGCAAATCAAGCCTTGGGCCTGCACAAGCACAAGGAACTTGGATAGGGTCTGGGGACCTTGATAATTAGAATAGGTTTTGGGGGTTCCTTAGTCTAGTTATGGTAGAATGTACCCCCAAACCCTATTCTACTTATTAAGGCCCCTAAACTAGGGCTCAGGGTCCAGGATGTAGGGTGTGGTATTCGGGTCTTCTCGAGACTGGGTGCAAGACAAACACACCCATGATGAAAAGGGTTTCGGGGCCCATTTTACTAGAATCATGATTATTATTGAGCTCCCAAACATGGTAATGAACTGAAAGACCTGACAAAAACTAACTCGCAAAACAGGACCTGAACGGTTCTTGCACTCGAAACGAAAGCAGCATCAAAGCAGCCTCCTACCGCCGGTGGGTGTTCGAGTCTTTTCGGGCTCGGGCCGAGCATATGGGGGTCTTAGAACTACAAGAAGGCATCCCTTCCCGCGGCCAGAGTTGAAGCTAAATGACAACCATTGAACCGGTCCAAATCGACGTGTTCCGAGGGAAAATTCCCAACCTCCTGCCCCACTGCCCTTCCGAGGGTTTTTCAGACCCAAAACTACCCCAAGCCCAAGAAACAGCTCGCAGCCTCCAGCAGACCTCTGCGAAACACAACCCTGCGCTCCTTCACGCTGCCCACCTGGCCTCCGCCACTGTCGTCAGCTGCAGCTGCGGAAGCCTCGCGCGAAGACTCTGCGACAACAAGGGCTGTTCTGCAGTGCGGGGCGTAGAACTTACACATTAACAGCGGCAGGCCTGCGTGCGTCCATGCACAAAGCCAGCTGAGACTTCCGCGGCGCCCTGCCTTTCTCACAAGTCGTGCTAGCCATCCTCTTGAAATCGAATGGCTTGGGCATCGCCGCGGTATCGAGGTACCGACACCCACAAACCCCGTCATACACTCCTCTGCACCTCTCCGCAAAATTTGTGGATGAAAGCCCCATATATGCTCTGTATATAAGTTACCTACGAAGCAGGTGCAATGAGTACCACACTTCAGCAGCATCTTCGCCGGAGATGCCACTTCTGCTCCGTATAGGCTACGACCCGCCTCCTCCTTGCGAGGCGAGGACACGGGCCCGGGCTCCCTGGAGCTTGGCCACACGGGCAGGGCCCTGCTTCAACGAAGGATCTCCGGCCGAACTATTTCTTGCAGATCCCGGCATCTCCATTAGCAGGTCGTGCCTCAAGCCCCGGGATGGTCGGAGTTCCGATTCTTTGGAAGAAGTTCGCTAAAGCTGCGGATCACCATTGATGTGTGCCGAGCCGGGCCTTTGATTGGGATCAGACGCAACCCCGAAGTTGGAGGTGATCTCACTCGCCTTCAAAGTCTGCCTCGTTCCATCCTGTAGAGTCTGTAGAGTAACATGGTCATAAGTTATGAACTCTTAGACCCAGGTCGGCAAGCTCAGAAATTGCCGCGGTTGCTTTGACCGAAGCTGGCAAGGCTTGCCACCGCGGCGGTCCCTCTCACTTCCTGGCAGGCATTGGGCAAGGAGAGAGATTATGGACTGGGAGGTCTGCTAAGACTGCCTACCTGCCCCACTACGTTCGGAAAGTGGGTGACCTCCCCATGTCTTTCTGCTCGAAATGCTCATGCTTCAGGCGCCCACAGATTGCTTCCGTTATCATTATCCTCAGCCCTGAGAACCTGCGGAAAGGCACCGACATCGAAGGCCCACCGCCTCGCTCCCCGGCGCGGGCCCATGGTCAAAAACAAAACGCGGCGGCAGCGCAGCTGTTCTTCGTCCCGAATCTCCAGCTTCGGGATGTGGTTGCGGAGCTGTCGCCGCAGTTCCTGAAAAGGGAGGTCAGCGCTCTGCAGCTGGGACAAGACGCCCGTGGGCCCAGCGCCCAGACTCCCCGCAGCTCCTCCAAGGCCTCCGGCGGGATGCGGTTGGACTGTATCAACAGCGTGAGCTCCTGGAGAGGAATGTTCGGGCCCGGGATGTCTCGGGAATCCAAAATTATAGCCAAAAGCTCCTTGCCAATATGGCTTATAAAGCTCACGCCCCGGCACCCCCGCCCCTGCCGCGTGTACATCCGAGAGAACCCTCGGAGCTCCTGCAGCCGCAGCTCTCCGAGAGCCGCCAGGGCAGCGCAGCCCTCGACCCCGAGGCCGGTGTACCACAACTTCAGCTCGAGAGTCCTGAGCTCCAGCATCCCACGGAGGCTTCGGCAGAGCGCCTGGCAGCCGGCGTCGCCCAGCTTGGGGTTGTTGCTCAGATGCAGCTCGAGCTTCGTCAGAGCCTTCATCTCCCCGAGGCCCTGCGCCAAGAACTCCACGCCCTTCGCAGTGATCGCGTTGTCCCACAACCCCAGCTCGAGCTCCTCGCAGCCTCCTGCGATCTGCCACAAAGATTCGCAGAGAACTCGGCACTCTTCGTCTCCCAGGTCGCAGCTCTTCAAATCGAGGACGACTCTGCGGGGCAGGCGGCCGGGCGGCGCCTGCAGAGCCGCGAGCCGAGCCTCCGAGAGCTCCCGCAGTTCCCGGCCCAGCTCGGAGTCAAAACGGAGATCCAGCTGAAGCGCTTCGCAGCGCCCGGGAGGGCCCTTCTGGAGCCAGCTGTTCCATTCATCAGACCTCGTGCAGCGATATACCTATGCCCTCGCTCTCTGCAACTTCCACGCGCATGGACGGACGATGACAGACTTCTCCTACAGTAACTTCTAGTAACTTCTGGCTCTCACACCCGCGCCCTCACCCGCTCTATCACTGCGGACCTCGCCAACATTAAAGTTCGCAGCAGCTCCCGAAGATCAAGGATCGTGCCTCCCCAGCCCCTCTCCTGGGCGACACCTTCCAGCCGACGCAGAGCAGCAAGGTATTCATCGCACAAGGCCCGGCCGTCCGGCAGCGTAGGCATCCAGCACCTCGTTCTTTAGCCAGTCCCGCACCTCCCAGGCAACGTGGTCGTGGAAAAGCCACGCCAGCAAGAGCCGCACAAAGGGGATGATCAGATTCACTACAAGAGTGAAGGGTTTCAGGCCATCGGCCACGGAGATCACCGAGGCGATGATGCCTTGCGGTGCGTCTTCCAGCAGCATTGACCACCGTCTGGTGGGCGTACTCTGCTTGTAGCAGAGCTGCAAGAGCTTCTGCCTGAGCTTCTTCCAAAAGCCGTCTTCGATGCCCAGACCCATATTGCTCTTCAGAAAGAAGAGGGTCAAGTAGCCCCGGCAAAGCTCCAGGCGGGACGACATGTCCGGAAGCAGAATCGCAATGTGTAGCAGCCAGAGGTAGCCTAGCGCACCCCAGCCTCACGGAGCTGCTTGCGAGGAAGTGGGAGCAAACGAACTACTCACCCCCAACATTTTTAAGGCTCATCCTTCATGTTTACACTAAGCCTTCCGGCCTATCGGTCGCACCCAGCCGGTGTCGGAGGCAATGGCTTGCGCTGCGAGCACAGAGTCTTTCAGCGAGTCGAAAGCCTCGCCTAAGAACGGCACCAAGCTGAGGCTGGCCACTGCCACGTCCGCTGCACCGTAGCTCGAGCAGCCCAGCGCCCGCAAGACGAGGGCCTGTGCTGGAAAAGTGAGACGGGACATTGCAGGCCTCAGGGAGGTCAGCACGGGCAGGTACGCATACAGCGATCGCACTGTTTAACAAATCTTTCATTTGGCAGTGTGCTAAGTAAGAGCAATGCACTCCGAGCATGCGCGCGGCGCGCAAAGAGATCCAGTGGCTGGATTTCAGGGGGGGTTTTAGGATGTTTTCGGCACTTACGCGATCGAAACTGACTGGCGGGACGTTTGCGAGGCTCCAAGCATCTCCGAGCACGGTGCCGGCCTTTCGAATCCCCTCCCCAAAACCCGGACCATACCAGAAACCGCACAAATTAGAAACTCCGAAGATGGCACCTCTCAGCCTATAGTTTTCTCCATAGCGATGTTCGGCTTGTGTCAGTGTGTTGCGGGGAGGGGCGATTGCCGACTGCAAACTATCGAACGCTTCCCCTTTTCTCAAAGAAGATCGCGCCTGTGCCAGGAAGAGGGCCAGCCCGCAAGTCAGGAGCAGATCGTAGGCCTCCCAGGGCAGGCCAGTGCCTGCAGCAAGCTCCCCTGCATTGCCCGCTGAGAGCGCCACTTTGGTGCAGAGGACAAGCCAGCACGGCACCAGCACCCAGGCCAGCATGTCCAACGATTCGTCAGAGAGGGCTGCCTCGTCGTCGCTGCCGGTGGCCTGCTCCAGCTCCGCTTCGGCACCTTGCGGCTGTGGCTCTTGGCCAGTGGGCGAAGTCCGCGAGGCCGCGCCGCAGGCGAATCGAAGCAGCAGTGCGGCACTAAAGACCACCAGCCCGGACTTCGTCAGCATCCAGCTCACCCAGAAGTCGGCCCGGTGCGGCGGCGGGTGTAGAAGCTCCGTTGCATTGGGCCACACGGGTTCAGGCATCTTTCGCAGCCATTGTCCGGCCCGCATCTTCAGCCGCAAGCTCGACAGACTCCAAATGCCCGTGTAGTTCGTCACATGTGTGTAATCCAAAAGGTTCAAGTCCGGAACTTCCACCGAGCTTGTGGCACTTTCCAGGTCCCACATGCAGGCCACAGGCGCGGCCGCCAGCACCACGAGCACCAGAGCCCGCGCGAGCAGATCACCCCGCTTCAGGTGGAACAGATCTCTGCCATGGAGGCTGACGAACTCGACACTGAAAGTGGTGGCGGCCGCGAGAAACGGTGCGAGCAGCGCCGGCAGCGGCCAGGTCTTGCAGATCGGGCCTGGGGCGTGGTCACAGGTCCAGGGTGCCTCCCAGTCTGCCGAGGCCCAAAGTGCCAGCACCGGCAGAGGCACACCCATGAAGAGACGTGTGAAATCAACACAATAGTTCCGTCCCCCTCTCAGTCTTGATACCACATCTGTGTCCCGGCTCATGGTCGCAGTGCAAGTGGTGAAGACGAGGACTTCCAGCGAAAGGAAAATCCACCAGCTGCCCTTGACGACCAAGACGGGCAAATTCCAGAGCCAGGCAAAGGTAGCATGAATGATGTAGAATTCTCTAATCTGAGGCGGGGCCCCTTGTGTGGCGACTCTTCGCACGAGGAAGAGCCCCAAGGCGAGGCCGGGAAGCGCGGAAACCGCCAACGGCCAGGAGACGGGGAGAAGCGACCCGATCGACAGCAGCCAGGCCGCGAGAAGGCCGCCCCAGCTCCAGGCCAAGCTCTTTTCAGCATGTCGTCGGGCCTCAGCAACTGTTGGAGGGAAGGTCCAAGGCATCCAAGGCTTCTCAGAAAAATGGTGGAGGCCCTATATAGCTTTACCCTACATTGATTGTTCAACCGTTTTCCCTGCCTTCCGTTTATCAGCGTCTTCTTCAGCTTCTTCAACTGGCTCCTGCCCTTCTCCTCGAGGGTCCTGTGCTGCCACTGCCACCCCGACGGCGCAGAGTCCCAGGCCCGGAAGTTGAAGTGCCAGCTGCCACCACGCCAACTTCTCCAAAAAGGGCAGCGCCGAAAGCCAGAGCAAGAGCATTGCGGGTGGCCGCAGCAGCCGCTTGTCGCTCACGCATCGCACGTGCGCAGCAATCCAAAGACCCCAGCAGCTGCCAGGGACGGCTTGGAAGAGGAGCTGCGCGGTGACGGGGAGCAGGACGGGCAGCGCCGAAAGCCACGTTGTCATGACGCCCATGACCAGCAGGAGCCAGCCGCATTCCTTCCAAGACTCGCCTGTGCTGAAGTTTAGAATTAGCACTACCCCTCAACGCTCTTGCGCCATACTAGCTTTCACTTAATCGATCTGCCTGGCGTGCGGTCCACGTCCGAGCCTTCAACCCCGTCCACATGCGAGAGCCGGGAGTAGGCGTAGGGTTTCCATTCCCGACTGAATTCATGTTCCTGCACTGGCAGAATGCAAGAAAGCTAGCGCCAAACTTTTTGAAACAATGAGATTGCATTTGGCCAAGGTGCATCCGCGCGCCTGCAGGCAAGGCAGCAAAGGGTTCGGCAAGAGATGAATCGATGCTCACCCTCCAAAGCCGGTGGCTCACTCCTTCCCGAAGCCTTGAGCATCCATGCACTCGGCCTTTTACGCATATCCGTGGGCCTCAGGAGCAGATGGGCGCCGGTAGCCACGGAGAGCAGGCCGGGGAGGGGCAGGAGCCATTTCCAGAGCAGGCCCTTGCGTCAGGTGCATTGAATGTCTTCTTTTCGTCTGAACTGAACTCTCGGAGCTGCCACGACGGAAGGGAAACCAGCAACCCTCGACAGCTCAGCATCCCTTCAAACATCGCCGTAGTGATCGTTTGCTTCTATGTGGTTGAGCGCGGCAATTAGAAGAGGCTTCAACTTGGGTCCCATGCACGTGCCTGTCTGGAAGAAAAAAAGCATTCCAGCCTGCGCTAAAGCCGACAGGCTCTGGACTGCACTCGCCTGCTGCCACAGTGTTACGCAACAACGCAACTAGCTGGGTCGATGCCACCAGGTCACATGGTCGAGGAAAGGCACCGCCGCACACCACAACCACAACAGAGTGATTGGAACGAGCATCCACTTGTCGCCGCCGGTGCCCACGTGCTTGGCCGCGACCAACCCAATCAAGCAGCCAGGGGCGGCCAAAGCCAGGAGCTTCGCGGTCACTGGCAAGGCCACCAAGACTGCCAACAGCCAAGTTAAGACAAAGCCCGAGACCAGCAGAAGCCATCCGCGGGCCATGCGTGCGTCGCCTGGCAGCAGAGGGAGTTGAATCGACCTTTGGGTTGGAAGCCGCGTATTCGGAATTTCGCCGACGCCCGCGCCTGGCTCCTGCCAATAGGCATCCGAGCCCCGCGAGGGTCGAGAGTCATCCTCAGCTCCAGCTCAAATTTTGCAGCTTTGCAGAAGCCGAGAACCAGCAGATTTAACAACAACGTGCTGCAGGTAGTGCTGCCTCCGAACAGAACCAACCGAGGAGTCGAGTGCTTGAATCTGCATGGTCTGCAAACAAGCCTACAGTAAAACGTGGCACATGAATCAAGATTCCCCTTCTGTCCGACCAAGAGAAGCTCGCCGGGACGACATCTTGTCATCATACTGTTCCTCCTCGTCCTCCTCCACCTCCTCTTCCGTGCTGTCCTCCCCCTCATCGCTGCATGCCAGCCTGCAGAACTGGGCAGGCGTCTGCTCTAAACCTGCCGGGCTGCTTCGAAGACCTCTCACTTCGAAGGTCACCCTAATAACAGTCCCGCATGACTTGTCCTTTTGGTGTTCCGGCACACCCAGCAAGTGCCCCCCAAGAGCCTGCAGAGCAGCCAGAGGCCGGCAGCCACGAAGAGCAGCCCAAGTGCCGGGAGCCACCACGGAGCCATAGCCTTGGCATCAGAGCCATCGAGCAGCAACCGCAACGACCCCCAAAAGTGCAACAGGGTCTTGGCTGACACCTTGCTTCACGCACACGCTCATGCGCACTCTCCAAGGCTCTGCAGTGGAGGCTCGACTCGATTCGAGACTTATGGAGGCAAGCCGGGATGCGCTGCCGAGCTGGGCCCGCGCGCCCGGTCACTGCCGGAAGAGGGACGCCTGACGCGGGCACGGGGCTGACGGATTTCACGCTGCAGCAGTTCTCCGCGCTCCTTCGAGACTCGCACAGCATGAGCGAAACATGCAACACACCTCAACCTTCCTTGAAAGCCAACACCAGGAAGACACAAGGAAACTTCTGCCAAACTTTGAAACGGGGCTTGCATCGTGTCTGCGTCGCCTCTCCCTCAAAACCCCGCAACACTCTGCAGGCTTGCCTGTCCTACCGGCGGGAGGCAGCAAATAGCAGCGACTGCTATGGGGTTGAATTCCGTGCAAGGGCCTAGCGAGGGCTCCGAGGCCCAAACGTCGGTTTTGGCTGAGTATGATGATCCGCGGCATCGGACAAGACACTGTTGCCTGCTTATATCAGAGTGGGTCATGCACGCTATGTGCATGTTCCTGGAAGACCTAATATGTGGAGTCTAGACCGCGAGCCTCCGTGCATTCTACCTTCCGATGGCCCTACGTGTAGCAAAATCGGCACCCTCTCTGTTCATATGTCTACGACTACACTCCTGCTTCAGACCTTCCATCTCCGCATGACTAGTAGAGCAGGCTTGAAAGCCATAAAACAGTGCTTCAACATGCCTGGATGTTAGGGGGCTGCGGCTGTCAGGGAATTGAGAGGACGTCTGGCAACGCACCTGACGAGACCCTTCATTAACTTCTCAGTCCAGCTGTAGAAAGATCTGCAAGAGTGTGCAAATGTGTGTAGCTGTAGCTGTGTTCAGGTGTGCGCAAGGTCACAGCCTCCTGGACCAAGATCCTTTCGGTGTGAGATGCGCTGTGGGCCAAAGCGCACGCGTTGCCGGGCAGCTCCCAAGAGACACTGAATCGCAAAACAAGGCGAACTTGCAAACGCACGATGATACGAAGTCAAAAAAGCACCGACTTCCCGCGAAATTCCCTTGCACACGCAAACTGCGCTGCAAGGCCTCCCAGCTCCAGCAATGCTACCGGCGATCTCCTCGTTTTGCAGATTTGGGGTTTTGCTTTCCGCTACATCTCGCGCTCACTTGGCTGCAGATGCGTGATACCGAACGTGCAACCACGGCGACAATTCCAAAACCTCTCTCTTCTTCCGCGCGTTCCGGTGGGGTCTCCCCTCGAGGGCCCTTTATAAGGTTGCAAGACTGCTCCTTTTCAGGTTTCCGCAAGGCTTCAACAGCAACTGTTTCAAGAAGGGCTGGAGCTGCCTCGCGGCCTGGAGGCGGGCGGTGTCCTTGAGGACTGAAAGGGATCTTGGGAGTCAAGTTATTGTACGACTCCGAGATGACTCCGTATCAAACCCCCCGGAAATCCAGCCAAAAAGCTTCTTCCTGCACATGCCGACACGATGTAGGAGAAGGCTTCACAAAAGTTGCTCTTGAGGCTTCCTCCCAGGTTTTTAGAAGGTTTCGATAGAAGCTCGCTAGAAGCGTTCCTTCAGGTAGAAGGCTTCCTTTTCGCTTTCCTAAATGGTCTCCGATAAGATTTCTGGATAGCTGTACTGGACTTTGCCACGTTTGATGTTTCTTCGGGACTCTCTAGCAACCAAAGAAGCAGCCAAAAAAGCCATGTCGAAGCACCCCTACATAATCTCCAAACCCCCAAAACCCCGAAGCCCTCTGAACTCCAAAGCCCACAACCGCCTAAACCCAAATACACCCGAAGAGAAAGGCTCCTATATCTCCCCCTGGAAAGTTTGAGGCCGGGGCCCCATCCTCTGCATCTTCGGCCGAACGTCGGCCTCGAAGGCCCTGGGGGGGTTAGGTGATTTGTAGGGGAATGTGTAGGGGTTTGAAATTTTTAGGGGTTTGGAGTTCTGCTCTACGGCTCCGACAAGGTTTCAAGAAGGGGCTAGAGATGCCTGGAGGCCCACAGACCGAGAGGTGGGGCTGCATTCTTCAGGACTGAGAAAGGATCTTTGGAGTCAAGCTCTATGTCGTAGAGGTCCTGGTAAGTCTCGGTCCAACTTCACCCCCGGAGAAAAACTGCGGGATGACTAAAGCTTCTTCCTGCGAATCCCTGAGCACACACATCCGACTCCCCGGAAGAGCTCCGAAGACCGAAGCTCCTCTCTGCCCTAGAAGGTTGCAAGAAGAGGTCATCCGGCGGAAGGCTTTGTTGGTACAAGGGTTCTAGGAGGTTTCTCTGACTACAAGAGGTATCTCTGGGAGACAGACCTTGGGGCTCCCGGGCCGCCTCATCTCCGGCATCTTCCACCGCCTCGGCTCCGGGGCCACGGGCTCGTGGGAAAAGCTCCGGTTTCGGGGCGTTTCTGGGGCAGGGCTCCAAGTTCATGCGAAGTGCCTTTTAAGAGTTGCGGGGAACTTCACCGGAGTGGTCTCAGGCTCCCGGGCGAGCAGCGAGCTGGAGTTGCCGGGCTGAAACCTTCAGGGCCCGACAGATCCCAAGCCCAAGAGACTCCTCCTGTCTCGGATTTCGCCAGGGTTGCTATGCCTCAGCCTTCCCCACCTACGAGCCACTGCCGCTGCCTTGGACAGATGCTCCGTTCAACAGGATGTCCCGCCCTATTCAACCCTCGAGACTCTCTACGCCCTCCAAAAGCCCTCTTCAGCCCAACCGGACCCCGTATTGAACCCTCGGCAAACAAGCCTCGACACCTCTTCAAGGCTTTCCAGAAAAAGGGACTTTTCAGCAACCCATCCAAACCCTCTCCGCGTCCGAAAAACCTCCATCCCCCGCACCCCAGGAACCCACGAAGATACCCCTCCCCAAAAACCTCGGAAGACCTTCACGCAAAAAAAAAAACCTCCCAAAAACCAGATGACCCCATACCCCAAAATCAGCATCTTTTAAACGACTTCGAGAGGGAGACTTCGAGCTCCTGAACTGTTGGGGTGGAGAGGCAGCTCAAGAGCTTCACCCATGCTTACACCGGGCACCAGCCGTTGCCCGAATTTCTCTGCTCCTCGAAAGGTACGAGCTTCTTAACAGCAGCCGCGCCTCAGCCCCTGAGCCGCAGCGCCGGAACCCCGCAGCGCGGTCAGCAACTGCCTGGCATCGGAGCTGGGTTCAGAGGCTCCCGGCTGCAGAGGGGCTCGTGCACCCCTGCGGCCGAGGGTTAGGATATCAACAGGGAGCGATGGGGCTCCTCGGATCCGGGAGGGCTGTCTTAGAAGCCAAAGCCAAGGATCCTCGGCTGAAGTTTGAAGAGTTCAGAAGGGCTCATGAGAGCGTAAGGGCTCCCCTTGCACGCGACACGGAAAGAACGGTAGAATCCTAAACCCTCAACCGCATATATGTACGCCTCACCTCAACCCCTCAGCAGCTCAACCCCAGGCATCCCGGTAATGTGGCCAGCCTCCCAATGTTTTCTGTCGCTTCCCTCCTGCTCTTCATCCCCATCGCTATAGCATTTCGAGAGCCCCCAAAAAAAAAACGAAACCCCACATTCCCTAAACCCGAAACCCGAACCATTTCGAAAAGAAAAGAGAACTCCTGCCCGACTCCCCTCACCTTTCTGCAAGGTACTCCCAAATCAAAACCTGAACCCGCGAGGCCTACACAAGCCCGATGCTGCTCGACAAAACTCGCAAGCCGGGCTCTCTGGCCTCTGCTATCGTCAGCTGTGAGAGCCTCACGAAGTTGCTCTGCGGCGCCGGGCCTTCACATTCGCAACATCCGGTCCCTACGCGTCGAACTGAAACGCTATGCTGCTATATGCTGCTATGCTGAGCCTTTCATGAGAGCTATGGCTGGACAAATGGACTTTTGTTTCAAATCCGCGCTAGCCATCCTCTTGACTTGGGCATCGCCCCTCCGCCTTGGGAGGTACCGATACCCGCCACAAACTCCGCCATGCTGATGAAAGTAGCAAGCCGCTCTCGACGTAGTCAATGTGCAAAACAACACGCTACATGCCAGCCAGACTGCTGCATCTTAGTCACAATCGCTGGGAACAACCCGCACCAGCTTCTTCTAGGCATAGAAGGAATGCCAAATGAATCTTCGGATCCTTATAAGAGGGCCCCTAAGGCTCGCCTCCTCCTTAGGAGCCCGGGACTCCCAGGCCAGCGCCTCACCGGCATACACTCGACGAAGGATCTCCGAGCTGTTTCCAGCAGATGGGAGTTTCCGAAAGTAAGGGACCCTAATATAGTACCCTAAATAGTAGGATCCTTATTATAAGGACCCCAAAATAAGGTACCCCTAATTTTCGGAAACTCCCAGATGATCCTGCCACTTAGTAACAATAATAGTAATAGTAACAATAGTAACAATAATAGTAACAATAATAGTAACAATAATAGTCATAATAATAGTCATAATAATAGTCATAATAATAGTCATAATAATAGTCATAATAATAGTCATAATAATAGTAATAACTGCTCACTTCTCTCAGGCCCATCTCGAGAGCCTCCCTCGCAAGCGCCATGCGGAGATCTGCGCTGCCCGGAAACAAAAACCCCAGAGTTCCGCCACTCCTCTCTTTGGAAGAGACGACGGAGTCTCTCGAGCTAATATAGGGGCCAATAGGGGCCTTAATGTGCCCCCTTACAAAGAATGTCTGACGGGGGTTCGAGCCTGAAGTTGGCTTTGACTTCATGAGCAACTGAACCTGATTTCGGTCGTCAACTGTTGCTAAGCCCATTCGGAGATCACTACTCGGAGCTCTGCGCTGCCCTGGACCCCGGAAGTTCCGAGTTCTTTGGAAGAAGCGATGGGATTCGCCAATGCCGCGAACCAGAGTCATGCTCGCAGCTTCTCCGAAAGGAGTGGATCAGATGTCATCAAGAAGATGGCGGGGGTCTCACTCGCCTTCAAGGTCTGCTTCGTTCCGCTGCGTAAAGTCTACATGGCCATGTACGTTTAGACTCTAGACCCAGGTCGGCGGCTCAGCGATGCCTCGGTTGCTTTGACCGAATCTGGCAACGGTGCGATGGAAGCGATCCCTTGCCATCCTATCCTGATCCCCCTCACTCCCTGGCAGCCGCTCGAAGGTACGCGGGGCAAGGGCTGGGCAAGGGGAGAGATCATGGGCTGGGAGGTCGACTGAATCTAGCTGTCCACCTACTTTCGAAAGCGGGCCCCGAAAGTGACCTCCCCATGCGTTCTGCTAGAAATATTATTGCTTCAGGTGTGCCTCCCGATCCTCGACCCACCGACAGGCACCGACATCGAAGGCCCACGGCCTCGCGGGCTCGGCCCAAGGTCAAAAACCCAACGCGGCGGCAGCGCCGTTGGCGTTCGTCCTCAATCTTCAGCTTCGGGATGTGGTTGCGGAGCTGGCGCCGCAGTTCCTGCAACGGGAGGTCTGCGCTCTGCAGCTGGGACAAAGACACCCGTGGGCCCAGCGCCGAGACACCCCGCAGGTCCTCCAAGGCCTCTGTCGGGATCGCGTTGTACGCTATCATCAGCTTGAGCTCCTGGAAAGGAATGTTCGGGCCCGGGATGTCTCGGGAATCCAAACCTAATTGTCAAAAGCTTCTTGCACATAAAACTCACACTCACGCCCGGCACATATAAACGTCACGCCTCGGAACCCCCACCCCTACCGCACGTGCATCCGAGAGAACCCTCGGAAGCTCCTGGAGCCGCAGCTCTCCGAGCGCCGCCGCCACGGCAGCGCAGCCCTCGGCCCCGAGGCCGGTGCCCCACAAGTCCAGGTCGAGGCTCCTGAGCTCCGACATTTGACGGAGGCTTCGGCAGAGCGCCTGGCAGCCGGCGTCGCCCAGCTCGGGGTTGTAGCTCATCTCCAGCTCGAGCTTCGTCAGGGCCTTCATCTCCCCGAAGCCCTCCGCCAAGAGCTCCGCGCCCTTCGCAGTGATCGTGTTGCCCCGCAACTCGAGCACGAACTCCTCGCAGCCTCCTCCGATCTGCCGCAAGGACTCGCAGAGGACTCGGCAGCCTTCGTCTCCCAGGTCGCAGTCCGTCAAAGCGAGGACGACTTCGCGGGGCAGGCGGCCCCGCGGCGCCTGCAGAGCTGCGAGCCGAGCCTCCCGCGGTTTCGGGAGCTCTTCCGTGAACTCCCGCAGCTCCAGAGAGCAACTGCTGAGGTCCAGCCGAAGCTCGTTGCAGGGCCCGGGAGGGCCGTTTTGGAGCCAGGTGTCATCCATGAGCGCCACAGAGCAAAACCTCCATCTAGCTTCTGCCCCCGCAGACCACGCTGCCAGCAAAGTTCGCAGCAGCTCCCGATCATCGTGGAGGATCGTGCCTCCCCAGCCCCTCTCCTGGGCGACATCTTCCAGTCGACGCAGAGCCGCAATGTATTCATCCCTTAGGGCCGGGCGCCCGGCTGCATCCGCGTCCAGTGCCTCGTTTTTCAGCCATGCCTGCACCTCCCAGGCAATGTGGTCGTGGTAATTCCACGCCAGCGAGAGCCGCACGAAGGGGATGAGAAGGTTTACGGCCAGTGTGAAGGGCTTCAGGCCATCGGCCAAGGAGATCAGCGAGGCGATGAAGGCCTGTGGAGCATCTTCGAGCAGCAGTGCCCACCACTTGTTGGGCGCGCTCTGCTTGTACAATAGCTGCGAGAGCTTCTCCCAGAGGCTGTAGCCCGGGCCCGCTTTGCTCTTGAGAAAGAAGAGGGCCAAGTAGCCCCTGCACAGCTCCAGGCGTGCTGTCATGTCTGGAAGCAGGATCGCCAGGTGTAGCACCCACAAGTAGCCGAGCGCGCCCCAGCCTCCAGAGCAGCGAACTGCTTGGGGCAACGGAATACTCACTCTCAACAAGTTTACGCTCCTGCATGTTACGTGCTTTACTGTCATACCTTTCGACTCACAGCCTATCGGTCGCACCCAGCCGGTATCCGAGGCGATGGCTTGTGCTGCGAGCACAGAGTCTTTCAGCGAGTCGAAGGCCTCACCCAGGAACGGGACCAGGCTGAGGCTAGCCACCGCCACGTCCGCTGCCCCGTAGCTCGCGCAGCCCAGCGCCCGCAGGACCAACGCCTACAATGGACAGGCATGAGAAGCAGGAAGACGGTGACTCTGCAGGTTTTGGCTGCCTGGAAATTGGTCGGTAGATAGATAGCCGTAGCTACCTTGCTGGCTACATAGATGGGTAACTAGGTCGGCACCGAAGAATTTCGAGTGAGCACCGTCGCCGCGCAAGGCGTGCGCATCCCCACAGAAAGAAATTCCGGACTGGACTTCTAACTTCTAACACTTAATAAATTGATTGGCTGCCATTGCGCCGTGACGGCACTCCAGACATGGTGCCCCTCACAATATAGAGTGAAGACATCGCATAAGGAATCGAGATCTAGGTCACTCCCGCCTATAAAACTCAAGCTCCTCTTGTCCATCTTTTTGAACACGAACATCAATGTGATGACAGCGAGCGAGAGCCGGAGAAAGAGATAGGGGGAGAGAGGGGGAGAGAGACAGAGTGAGACAGAGTGAGACAGAGTGAGACAGAGCGAGAAGGAGAGAGAGAGAGAGAGAGAGAGAGAGAGAGAGAGAGAGAGAGAGAGAGAGAGAGAGAGAGAGAGAGAGAGAGAGAGAGAGAGAGAGAGAGACAGAGAGAGATAGAGAGAGATAGAGA